ATTGTCAATCTACGACTGTTTGTGGGACATTGCTGTGCGCAATTGGCTGCTGTGTTCGACCACAAATATACAGTCAATTCACTTTACAGTGTGTTTTGTGAAGCGCTTTGGGATGTCCTCCCGACGTGAAAAGTGCTATATCAAATGCAAGGATTATTATTATTATTGACGTGAAAGGCACTCTATAAATGTAATGTTGTTGTACTTTGTTGTTGCTACAGGTGATTAAGATGTTATTCTACATGAAGGATGCTTTGTTGTTGCTGTTGATAGCTGTAGATGTGCTACTCTTTATGACCATGAGGATGTGTACCCCACGTTTTTGGGTCAAGGAGTTTTTTAGTAGGATTTAATAACAGAGAGGCAGTGAGACAGAAGGGGATTTTCATAGAATCATAGAAATGTACAGCACAGAAAAGACCATTTGGCTCATTGTGCATGCCAACCATTTAAAAACAGCAAACCATTCAATCCCATTTACATGCCTTTCCCCCATACCCCTGCAGATTATTACACTTTAGATTTCAATCTAAATCCATATCATGGTTTGTAATCTAATAATAAATAATAATCTTTGCAGTATACTGCCTATAACATTGAAACGTCTCAAAGCACTTTACAGGAAATTGCTATGAAGTGTGGTATCTGTGTATCGCATGGTTCTCACCTCCACCTACCCGACCTCACCCTAAAACTTTCCGAACCCATACGCAACCTAGGCGTCAGGTTCCACCCACAATTATTGTTCCTCCCCCACATCTGGTCTCTCACCAACACCGCTGTCCCAGAGAGGATCAACTTCAAAATCCCCACTCTTGTCTTCAAATCCCTCCACTCCTTTGCATTTCCCTACCTCTCTGGCATCCTCTCTCCTCACAACAGTGCCCATTGCCTTCGCTCCACCGGGTCTGGCCTCCTCCTTATTACCCCGAATCCTCTGCTCTACCATTGGTGGCAGTGCCACTACCCCCGAGGCTCTACAACTCCCTTCTTCACTCTCTTCGCCTTGTCCCCTCTCTTCCTATTTTCAGGTCTCGGCTGAAGACCTTTCTTTTCGACCGCAACTTTGGTCACCTTCGTCCCCCTCCCCCTGGCTCGGCCCCGGAACCCGTTACTGTGAAGCGCTCTGAGATGCTGTCCGGTGTGGAGGGCACTATATAAATCCAAGTTGTTGTTGTTGTATTTGCAGATGCTGGAGACAATTTTTAAACATAACCATGACCAATTTTCATTTACAAAATACACAAGCATAGGTTTCGCCTACAAAATACAGTCAATCCACAATATATCCTGTGAGGTGCTTAGAGACGGCTCAACAATGTGATAATGGGTTATATCAAATGCAAGGAGTTATTATTATTGCCTTGTTTGAAGCAAGTGATCAATTTATTTTAGTCAAGACACCAGGAGAACTTTATTTTCCTTCTGCATAGTGTCATGGGATCTTTAACGTCCATCTCATCTGAGAGACAGAACCTCTGACAACCCAACACTCCTACAGCACTGAGTGTCAGTTTTCATTGTGAGCTCAAAGTTCTGAAATGGGGTTGAACCTACAACCTTCTGACCTAAAGCGGAGAGTACGACAAACTGAGTCAAGCTGACATAATGTCACCCTAACCCTCTTCATGTCATTCGAACTATCTCCTGAGGCCTATCAGTTTGGATTCTGTTATCAGGGACAGAGTGCAAAATGCAAAATACTGCAGATGCTGGAAATCTGAAATAAAAGGGCCCTCATTTACCTGCTGGGGACCTTAAAGCCCTCTGACCTCATATTGGTTTCAACAATTTCAGACCATAACAGCTCACCTTCCCCCTCCCCCTTTTCTGTGATCATTACCACATTATCTGGGTCCCAGACACACCTTTTCTCTCACTGGTCTGCCTATTTTGTTCCAATTTCCCCTTTTTGTTTTGTAATATTCATACCTCTAATTCTCTGTTTTGTTGCAATACCCCACGCTTTGTTTTGTATCATTAACACTACTTTAGCCCATCATCCTCTGTCCTCTACCCCATTTTCTCCTTTGTCTTCCTTGCCCTGTCTTCCCCCCTCTCTGTTAGCCGTTAAAAGCCTCTCCTTCCCAACATGCCACAGTTCTGACGAAAAGTTGTGGACACAAAATGGTGACTCACTTTCCTTTTTCCATTAATGCTGCCTGACCTGCTGAGTGTTCCCAGCGACTTCTGTTTTTGTACCAGGCACAGAGTGACTGAACACTTGAGTAAGTATGAGCTGATAAAGGAGATTAAGCATTAATTTATGAATGGTAGGTCATGTCCCACTAATCTTGTTGACATTTTTGAGGAGCTCACAAGCACGATGAATAAGGCAATGTCTATGGATATTGTCTATATGTCTGACTTCCAGAAGGCATTTGATAAGGTTCCACACACGAGATTATTAGCAAAAATAAAAGCACATGGAATTGGAGATAACCTTGTGCGGTGGATTGGTAATTGTGAGGTAGGGGACAGACAGAAGGGATAAAGGGAAAGCCCTCTAATTCATAGGATTTAATAAATGGGGTTCCTCAGGGATCTGTACTGGGTCCTCAGCTTTACCCCATACATATTATGACTTGAATGAAAGATTAAAGGGCTATATACCTACGTTTGCAGATGACACTAAGTCAGGAGGACACTAAGTTAGTAAATTGTGTACCTCGGAGCAGGAAGTTACAAAGGATATAGACAGATTAAGCAAGCGGGCAGAATTATGGCAGGTGGAGGAAGTGGAGGTCATCCAACTCTACCTTTCCTCCTCTACCCTCAACTCCACGACCACCGATGTCCTGACAGCCTGCCTGTCCTACATCGAGTCCTGGACGAGAGATAACTTTCTTCAGCTCAACGTGCATAAAACTGAGGCCCTCCTGATTGGCTCGCGTCAGCGCCTCCGCACCTCAGGCGCTGACAGCATCAGTATCCAAGGCTGCACTCTCCACCTCTCAAAGCCGGTCAGGAACCTTGGTGTTCTGTTCAACACTGAGCTGTCCTTTCTCCCTCATATCCGCGCCACAACTGGCACCGCCTTCCATCACCTCCGGAATGTCGCCAGACTACGGCACTATCTCACCCCTCACGCTGCTGAAACCCTGGTCCACACCTTTATCACCTCAAGGCTGGACTATGGGAACTCTCTCCTCGCCGGCCTTCCCGCCACCTCCCTCCACAAGCTGCAGGTCATTCAGAACTCTGCAGCTCGTGTCCTGTCCCGCACCAGGCTTCACGACCACACCCTCGCTCGCCTCCACTGGCTCCCCATCCCCCAGAGGATCGAATTCAAGATCCTCATCCTCACCTACAAGGCCATTCACGGCCTTGCTCCCTCCTACATCTCCGATCTACTATCCCCCTACCTATCTGCCCGTACCCTCCGTTCCTCTGGCTCCGGTCTCCTCCATATCCCCCGCCCCAACCGCCCTACCATCGGTGGTCGGGCCTTCAGCCTCTCAGCCCCTAGACTCTGGAACTCTATCCCCCAGTGCCTTCGCCTTGCCTCCTCCCTTTCCTCCTTCAAGGCCAGTCTCAAGACCTTTCTCTTTGACCGTGCCTTCAGCTCCCCTCTCGACTCTCTACTCCCTCCTCGCTCCCTCCATTCCCTCCCCTCACCCTGATCATTTCCCCCCTCCTCGGGTCCTGACCCAACTGTCCAGAGCCTTGGGAAGTCCTCCCGACGTGAAAGGCACTCTATAAATGGAATCTTGTTGTTGTTTGGCATTTCCTTACTCCACATACCTCTGTTTACCTAGCAGTAAGTAGGGACCCAGTTATTAGTCGATTTGCTAATTGCTTTTCTGTGGATAAAAATCCCTTTCAAAAATAAATAAATAAGAATTCCTGACTGTTTGTGGGACCCTGCTGTGCGCAATTGGCTGCCGCGTTTCACCCACAAAATATACAGTCAATTCACTTTACAGTATACTTTGTGAAGTGCTTGGAGATGTCTCAAAGATGTGATAAGGCACTATATTAAATAATTATTATTATTATTAATGGGGAAAGAGTAGGAGCTGTGGCGGAGCAAATGGATTTTGATATCAAACTACATAAATCACTGAAAGCTTGTGTACAAGTACAGAAAGCAATCAAAAAGGCGAATGGGTTTCCAAAGAATGTACAGCATGGAAACAGGTCACTCAGCCCAACTAGTCTATGCTGGTATTGATACTATATAAATCCAAGTTGTTGTTGTTATACTCCACATAAGTCTACATCCACTCCCTACTCCCTCCCATTCCCTTCTCCCTCATGTGAAAGTTTAGCTATCTCTTGAATCCTTCTATTAATAATAATAATAATAATCCTTGCATTTGATATTGCGCTTTTCACGTCGGGAGGACGTCCCAAAGTGCTTCACAGAACACATTGTGAAGTGAATTGACTGTATATTTGTGGGCGAACGCGGCAGCCAATTGCGCACAGCAATGTCCCACAAACAGTCGTAGATTGAAAATGACCAATTTATTATTGTTTTTTTTGGAGGGATTATTATTAGGCGTGTGGAGTAAGGAATTGCCGGGAATTGAACTCAGGTCTCTCGCTTGCAAAGCGAGTGCTCTAACCACTGAGCTACAGGACTCCAACAAAGTATATTAACATAACATAACATGTAGGAGCAGGAGTAGGCCATTCGGCCCTTCGAGCCTGCCCCGCCATTCAATCATGGCTGATCTTCTAATCTAACTCCAGCTAATAACCTAACCCTGCTTTATCCCCATATCCCTTAAGGTCCCCTCTTAAAGATAGCAAGAGTCTATTCCTGATGTGTGACGAACATTATACGTGTCGTTATTTTCAGGATCAATCAAGTGAAAAGGTGCTTGGTACCCAATGGCCAAGAATTACTGAATACCCACCAGCACCCTAAAGGGTTAACCTTTTGACTTCCTGGTCCCTTTTGCAACTGCAGTGAACTTCAAAGCAGAATGACCTGGCTGCTCAGCAGTGTATAAATCCTGCCCCAGTGAGAACCCAGTCATTTCAGCTGATGGCTGCACCAGTTCGTGGCAGTAAGGACCAGTAAGCTCAGCATGGGCTTCAACACAAAGCTCAGCTTCTTGCTGCTCTTGACCAGTTGTGCTTTTGCTCGTAAGTTTCTTTATACATTTTTCATAGAAATAAACTAACCCGACAAACACAAATATAAAATTGCAGTGTGTCTAGTGTTATATGTTTTGCTCACTGTGTTACAATTTACACTGCAGTACACAACTGCAACTTCAAATAGAATATAAGGTGATAATTCAGAATTTGATGTGGTTCTTGAAGAAACTTGTAAAATAAAATGAAATTAGTGCATTTTAAGAGGAAGTACAATTTTAGATTTAATACACAGGCATGTATCTAAAACGTGTAATATTTTTGAACACCTAAAACTACTAAATGTAAAATTCCTATCAATGTTCTTACATGCTAAGTAGTATATGAGAAATTCCACTTGAAGATAGTTTGTTCAAATGTTTTAAAACCAGTCAATAAAACAAAGTATACATTTTTGGAATATAAGAACAATTTTGCAGGATGTTGTATTTGATTTAAATAATTTCTTCAATAAAATGTTATGCTTTAAACTAAATTGGGCAAAATGAAGGAAATAAGAGAGAGCTGAAATGTGCAAGGTTAAAAAAAATTGTGTTCATCAAACAAAGATTTATAAAATTACATTTTTTTCAGAAGAAAGGGGCAGGAGTTCCAGTGGCGCAAAAGACACTTGTTTAAGTGAGTTGTGGTGTATTATGTTATATTGTTTTAAAATGGTAACTAATTTATAGAACCTTAAGTAACTGAAGAAATTACATTTTCAGTAATCTTTGCAGTTTTAGGCATTGTCTACTTCACAAGGACAACTTGAAGCAAGCAATTCTTATTGACCAGAGAGAGCAACCAAGACGATAGTAAAGAAGGAAAATTCACAGAGCTGAACTTACTCTCATTACAAGAAGAAATTTAGAAGAAATATAATCTAGATCCTCAAAATGATGAGTGGCATAAATATAAGCAAACTATTTGGTGTAGTGTGCAAGAGCAGAACTGGAGAATATAGATTTTAAACTGAAATGTCTCAAGCAGGACTTTAAATGACAAAAAATGTTTTCTCACCAAGTTGTGAATATTTGGAAGAAACTCTCAACAAAAATCAATCATGTTCTGCCGAAACATTCTTCAAAATAGTACCAAAAGATATCGAGATAGGTGAACACTCCTGGGACACACTGACTCCTATCCACTTTTGAAAGGGTGAAGGTTTTAGCTTGATCATCTTTGGGGGCTGAGGGAGTATGGATACTTTAACTATCCCCAGGGAAAAGGACTGCAATTTACATGTGTCTAGCGCTTTTCACATCGAAAGGATGTCTCGAAGCACTTCACACTGCTGTTAGGCATCCAACCTATTTTGTGTGTGAGGGGGAGAGTGGGCCATACAGTAGATTTTGCCCAGCTGAATGTCAAATCGTGTCAACGTAGAGATTGAAAATGATAGATACAGATAGATAGAGAGAGAGAAAAATACAAGTGAGAGGCAGAGACAATAATCACTGCATTTGATGTAGCGACTTATCACATCGTTCAGATGTCTCAAAGAGCTTCACATAATATACTGTAAAGCAGGCAGCTGAAAAGTGTCCCTTACAGTATTGACTGTACATTTTGATTGCGCACAGCGGTGTCCCACAAATAATCGTGGATTGAGTGACCAAATTATTTATTATTTTTGTTAATGGATTATTACCTCCGGAAAGCGATCCACTAATCAACTAACAACCTGGTTCCTACTTACTGCCAGGTAAACAGAACCATGCAGAGTCAGGAAACTTGCCTAAAGTTTCACCCTGCCTGAGGATCAACGATATAAAGCACAATCCATTCAATTGTTTTTATTTTATATAATATAGGAGAGTTGTTTCGTTTCAAAAATTTTTGGAAGTATGTATACAATTATGAAACGGAGACCTTAAATGGAGTGCCTGGAACTGCAGACTCCCGCTCTGGTGTCAAGCTGTCCTGCAAAGTAAGTTAAAGATCCATCCTTGTTTCCAAGCAAAACACCGAAATGAATTATTAAAACTGCAGTCTCTGGCATGCGATTCTTGTACCTGTGATCAAATGGTACATAACCAAGAATTTTTGAATAAAGTGCATTTATAGAACACCATGTTAACATACATTTAACATTTTTTTTATTCCTCAAATATATTTGACAGAATAACATGTAATTTCAGGTAATTAATTTGTTAAGTGATCACCAACATGTTTCAAACTTTGTGTAAGTTTAATAAACAGAAATGCTTCTAAGATTCTAACTACTTTAAACTAGTAAGTGTTTGAAATCACTAAATAATCTGACCTTTACTGAAACTGGTAGGAATTCAACCAATGGTCTGGCTGATCTCTGTGAGATGCCTGTTGCCCTGTATGTCCCAAACTAACCTATCATCACCAGCTGTGGACTGAGCTCTGAAGTTTATTTGCTGGTGGCATTACTGCAGGACAATCGCTCAACTCTGCCAGTAACTGCAATATGTCTACTCCAAGGAAAATACTAACACCTTTATTTATATCTGTTGATTAAAGTCAGTATACTGCCTTTTGGTAAACTCATATCTCATAATGATTCTCAAAGCATTCTTAGATTGACATTTTCCCAATTTTCCTAATATTTCTTCAAGTGGCCTTTTCCTTTAGAGCTATATGTGATTTTAGCTCACTCACTATGATGTGACTAGCACGCGGGCTAACAGGTAGTGTACCTCTCAACTGAGATTAACGTGCATGCAGAAACTCAACAGCTGTAACCTTGCCTCTTGTGTTTAGGTTGAACTGGAAGTTCCTCGGCACTGTGGGCTCATGATGCAGGTAAACCAGTGCAAACTGCAGGAGGTACACAGCATCAATGCAGATGGCAAGCCGATCTTCAAAAAATCTAAAGAGTCAGAAAACTTCCAGAAAGCCATGTCCCAGTAAGTAACGTTAACCTTATCTCACGATTCTGTGCCGTGTGGATTTCTCTCCTGAAAAAGATTTGAAACTGAGCAGTAGAAATCAAAATAAATATTTGTAGCTTTTCTGCACTGGGTTTGACAATGTATCCATAACATCCATAAACCAAAAGCTCCTGCCAGGCTTTTTAGGACTTTGGGTTTGCTCCTTAAATTGTGGTATTCCCCACCAAATTTGTGATAAACATTGCAATTCCAATAGTTGAGCAATGGTCTTGGGGCTGGGATTTTGAGTGTGTGTTGAAGTAATGAATATTAATATTAACCAGGCACATCAGCAGTGTAATGTAATTGGCTTTAGATTGCTAGTATTGGTGAAGAATACACTTTGGAATGATATGGCCACTGAATGAAAAGTCTTTTTCTGTAGATATGAGCTGAAATTCACAACATCAGGAGATAATGGCATCACTTTGTATCCACATCAAGATGAGCCAACCAACATTCTCAACATCAAGAGAGGTATAATTTCCACTCTTTTGGTGCCGATGGAATCTAGTAGTGACACGGAGACTCTTTTCATGGTGAGAATATATGTTTTAATGAGTGGAACATATTTCTAGGGGATTTTATAAAGTATATATTAAAAACAACTCCTTAATGGACTTCATTGGAAAGATACTGTCCAATGCTAAACAGAGCCAAAAAGTTGCAGGTTAAATGTGGAGAAAGGAAGTGAATCAACGTTTTGGGTTCACGATCCTTCAAAACCCGAAACGTTGACTCACTTTCCTTTCTCCATAGATGCTGCCTGACCTGCTGAGTGTTCCCAGCGACTTCTGTTTTTGTTTCAGATTTCCAGCATCTGCAGTATTTTGTGTTTAGGTTAAATATCTAGTCTGTGCTGAGTTAGTTCAGCTCCATGGCAGCAGGTTCCAGACAGGAGAGGAATTTGGAGGATCAGCCACAGTTCCTGCTTCTGTTTGATATCTACTGACCTCTACTGGAAAGTACAAATATGCATATATATTTACGTTGGGCTCAGCTATGAGTTTTACTTGGTAGATAGCATTGTTTGTACCTTAGTAAGTGCACCTTAACAATTCTTCAAATGTAAGCCTGAATTAGCTGCTCAACCTTACATTTGAAGGATCGTTAAGGTACTGTAGAGCAGCAACAAGAACAACTTGCATTTATATAGCGCCCTTCACACAAGTGCTATATACATTCAAGTTGTTGGTGGTGTTATTGTTCTAAGATACCTTACATAAGGGACAATCCTTTAAATGTAAACCTGAACAGTGACCGAAGCCTACCTACCATATGAAACTCAAAGCTGTGCCCAACCTGAACTGGTTTATATCATTCTCAGTAAAGGAAAGAGAGAAAATTGAAAGAAGGAAAATTTCCCTCCCAAATCCACCTAAAGTGTGAATATTAAAATTATTGAGGTGGAAAACAATCAATATCAAAGACAATGTTAAGTAAGTGTTAAGTATCTGCATGTGCCAAACTAGGATTGTCTAGCACCTCCTGACACTCCTGAAAGTACTCTATAAATGTAAATTTTATATTGTAAGGTTTCTTTTAATTTTACTGAGCTGTGCACACATATCCCTTGTATTCATCAATTCCAACTCACTTCTAGTGGAAACTAGCAATAACATTGGGGAAATAAAATTACTTGTTAATGTTAAATCAATTTTGGGGGTTTTTCTTGCTGAAGCCTTTATAAAGATTGGTGACGGCAACCGCATAGCCAGCAAACAAAAGAGAAGCCTTATTCCGCTTATAACTGCTGAACTAATTATGTTCCCAATCTTAAGAATAAAATAGGGCTCCCATTCTCTCAGCTCCAGTAGTCGTGGGGCAAAGTTTTAACCATCACTATCGTTTTGATGGGATCTAATTTCCAGCATTTATTTGAGAATTCCTGTTGACTCTGCAGATAATCAAAATAATTTTCCCGCGTGTGGTATTAGCATGATGCAGTTCCAGTTTGCCTGGAGACTTCCATTTGCACCACTCAGATTCCTTATAAGAATTCGTTGCATGGAACCCCATTGAGAAATACCACAACTGATGCCCTGCTAATTAGAAGAGACAAAATTGCCTGCCTCACTCAATTATTATTTTGAAGAAGTAAAACAAGGAGATGGCTTCCTCTAATTCTCTTCTTTATGATTCAGGATTCTATTTACGGCAAATGTAAAAGTCATTTTGCAGTCAATAGCAGAAGAAAGTCAGTAGCTACTAATGTGGTCATTGAACGGGACCTTACCGAATGCAGGATGTACTATCCCAAGAGTGTAAAAGGTAGCCCTTTTGCAATACTTGGAGGAGAGGTAAGAAATCAGTAGAAATACCTTTTAAGTATTAACATGAGTGAACTGATACTATTTGCAATTTCAAGACTTACATTTGCCTATTGTAAGAGATGTACCATTCACAATCTGTACAGTCTTTTAGCAACTTTAGCAGTCTGTGATTCAGCAGTCTGTGAGTCTGTCCATCCCTCTGTATCTGTAATTGATTTTATGTTTTTAACTTAATCCTTGCACTTTTATTCTAAGTATTTTCTGGTCTGATCCACTGCCCTATATCATATCTTTTCTCAGCTTGGCATCAAGCTGCACCACTGTTAAGTGTTCTGAGGGAATTATCAGTTTATCTCTTTAACTTTGGAAGGAGTATCCTACCTGAAGCATTGCTTTGGCTTCTCTTTCTGATCTGTGTTGCTATTCCTGCTATACATTTCCAGCATTTCTGTTTTTATTACAAATTCATAATTCAATTTTCTTTCTAGCTGTACAACCATTATTTGTTTCATATGTAGATATATATATCTATAGGAATTTGCAACATCATCCCAACTGGGCAGCAGCCAGTCTTGCACGTATTCCCTGGATGGAAGTAAGAAGCATGTAACAGAAGCCGTCTGCAGTGAAAAACACATTTTTCTGCCTTCCTTTAACCAGTAGGTTGTTTCACTAATTACTAATGAATAATAAGTGGTGGTCATTTCTGCTTTTGCACATTTCTCTGTAGTGGGATTCCTCCCCTCCCCCCCCGCCCCTTTACAGTATAGCGAGTTAATTCAGAAATGGAGCAATGAGAAATCTGAGACCGATAATGAGCACTGGTGATGGTATCACATTTTCAAAAACTTCACGTTTTTCAATGTCTCACTTGACTGTGAAACCCACCCCCACCTTTGTCAAATAGTTGTGCCTGAGGCCTGGACAAAGTGGCTGAACTCAAGTTTACTCTGTCTTGTCTCTAGAGAGAACCTGAACAAAGTTTCATGTTAATTCATAATAAATTTATATTTGAGTGGACTATGAACAAAACAGTTTGCAAGATTTCTAGTGACACTTAATTTACTGGTTGCTGTACAAATAATGATCATTAAACGTTTCATAGAATTATTTTTTTAAAAATTAAGACTACAATTCCACCTGATTTTAGCCTATCAGGCCAGTTTGTTTTAAAAATATAAAATCGAACAGAACCGTGAAAATTCTTCAACTCAGTCTTATGGGAAGCTTTTATTCTGCAGTTCTTAAAAAGAGTCAGCTTCGAAAGAAAGACTGAATTTAAGAAATTTCCACAATAATCTTACATTTTCGCCCACAAAATATATAATCAATTAACCTTACATTATATTTTGTGAAACGCTTTGAGATGCCTTGAAAATGTGATAAGGCGCTGTATCAAATGCAAGTATTATTACTATTATTATTTAAACCAAATTGGTCTTGTGGGCTAAGGCGAGATGAAATTTTAAGAGTTTGATTTGGGGTAGAAAAAATAAAATACTTGTAATGAATAAAAGTTGGCTTCTTTAAGATGTTAAATGTAACAGGGCCAGCAAGGCAGTAACTCCCAAGTAAACACTATTTTCCTTTTGTTATTAGAAACAATTACGGACTGATGTCAACCGTTAAACAGACACTCAAACTGGAAACCTCATTTCGGATCAACAACCGATACTTTATCGAAGGTACAATGACTGCTTTTTAGCTGCACCAAAATCCTCCTTACAAGAATCTTTCATTACTAGCAATTGTTTTTGCTGTTTGATGAAATGAAATGATATCCAGCAGGAATCACAAGGTTGGTTTGGCTGAAGAAAGTCCTTTGGCTCATCCGACCCCCTCCGTCCAGAACATCCATCCCACCATCCATCCCACCATCCTTCCATCACAGCATCAAGCTGCCATTAAATGAGTCCAGTGTCCTGGCCTCAACCGTCCTTCCTGGCAACCTGTTCCAGTCATTTATACCTTTTGGGGGTATTTCCAGCTTTCCTCTGATGGTTGGAGTTAACCTTTCCATTAGCAAAATAGAAAGCCTCACAGGAGTTGAAAATGGGGTATGAGTGACTCAGCGGCTCATTCACACGGGTAGGACAGAGAAGACTGGAACAACGAAAGAACACACAAAAGTTAACCAGTCGTGCAGTCTGTTCCATTTCCTCAATCCAAGCGATGGGCATATTGGAAGTTGAAAATGGACCAAACCCAATCTACATAATCCTTATACCAAACCTCTTAAGAGATTTACCTGTCTCCAATATTCAACCCTAGTCTAGTAATGGCCACATTTTTTTAAGAAGATGTGCAGAAAACTGGCTTCCAAATTAAAATTGAATTTACGGATTTTCCCAAATACTGCAGAATTTCAAATTTTAAGATAAATATAATAAGATTCACCACAAGGGACTTTGGGACTCTGATAGCTCAAAATTGTCTGAAGTGCCTTTCTCTACCAATCAAAGGATAACCCTTATTTGATGATTAGGGAGAGAACTGCATAGAGTTCCCGCGACTTAATGTTATAAGTACGTTGGTCACAAGAGATGAAAAGTAAATATATGTTGTTTAGTACAACATTTTCACTGATCCTTTTAAATTTGTTATTCATAGATAAAGTTAACTTGAAATACTTGAGGTTGGAGCTTACTGACAGTAAAACAAAGAGTGCAGATTCTGCCCTGACAACTCTACAGAAACTTGTCAAGCTGGCTGAGACTGCTCAGAATCAACAACGAGCCAACTTGTTCCAGAAATTTGTGTTCGAATTGAGGAGCTTGGAGGAAGATACACTTTTCAATGTCTTACCAAAGCTAATGGAAACATCCAGGTAATAGAGACGATGAATTTAGAAACGTGCTATACAACTTCAATATCTAAAGAAAATACCTGACCTTTGCTTTACTTAACTTTGGATCTCTTTCTTTTTTAATAGCTCAATTACTGTGCAAGCTCTCCCCCAATGCGGGACACAAGAATGTTTTTCGGCAGTCCTCAAGGTATTTGAAAATGAAACAGACTCCCCTCTGCTCATCGATACAATTACGTACGCCATGGGACTCATGCCTTCACCCTCCAAGCATAGACTTACGGAGGCCCTCAGCATTGCAAAGCATCGGCAATCACGGGCTACATTTTATGGACTGAGTCACACTGCAAGGAAGTAAGTAAAGGATTACGGTGAAATAAAACAGCATTTTAAAGCAAAATTACCCTTTTAAGTTAAGATGGCAAATGTAAATTCTGTATTAATTTATCCCAAGTTTCTGAAATCTGGATTTTGGGAACCCATTTCCTCCTTACACATCCTTATTTGTATCTTCACTCATTCCACTACCTGTTGTGATGAGTATATGTTGCGTTTGATGCTGATTTCTCTGGGTGCAGATGATACAGACTGGAGTTGTTTCTTGCAAGGCTTTTCTCCTGTGAGATGCAATACCATTTCAAAATGCCCCATCTAGTGGTTTAACAATGTAATGACCAAATACTGTATATCCAGTACCACTAACAAACTTCAATGCATTTTTTATACTTCAATTTTAACAGCAAAACATTTTAATTGCAGCTGTGCTCATAAAACATAACTCTTTAAAAAGTGGGCATGAGGGTAGACAAGGTGCACCGAATTCAAGAAAACTTGACAGAAAGTGTTCTGTGAAGCTTTCCTCTCTGGAGCACAGCAATACTTTGATATTATCTATCTTCTAGATAAACAACAAAACTGCTATTTTTTCCCAAATATCCTTTCATGTTGGTGGAAGCAATGCATCAACTAATTGAAGTTCTATTAAATATAGTTTCACATCTAATGTACTACTTCTTTAAATGCAGGCCAATATTGATTCACAGTCCTTTAACTAAAGGGTTAAATCTGCACACTATCCCCTTATAGTACCAGTATATATACAGTGTTGTCCTTGAAATCCAGTGGCATATTTATTTCTTCCCTAAATGTTTGCAAAACTTGAAAGTCAGTTTGGTTCCATTGGTTGCTTTCATCTCTGAGTCAGAAGGCTGTACACTTGTATTCTACAGTAGAATGTGACCTTATATTCAGGAAGAAAGAAAATCATGAAAGCGTTGTGAGCCACAAAGAGTAAGGGCAGTGTTAATTGGCGAGTATTATTTTGTTGCTACTCAATCTGGCACTTCAGAACTGAGAGAATACAGTGCAGCATTGCCAGATGCCTGTTTATTAGATGAGATATTGTATCAAAGTATAACTTATTATATATATTATTATTATTATTATATATATTATAGTGGTTCAAGTAAATATTTCAAGTGAAGTTCACGTGGAATGTTTGAAAGATCAAGCAATTTATTCTTATCCTGCCCAGTAGTTCTATATCTGTACAGCAGTTCTATTCAAAAAGAATCAAATTACATTTAATTTATATATTGCATTTACTCCATTTAAAGTACTTGAATATCTTTTTAAAGTGATAGGGCATCATATCAAATGCAGGTATTATTAATCATTATAATTCTGAACCTTGACAGTTTCAGAGAAAGTTCAGTACAATTCGTACTTAGCATTGCAACAACTGCAAACCACTGTATGAACTGATCATTTGAATGATTATATAGGGAGAACATCTCAAGAGCTTCACACAGCTGACTGGGAACCCAAAATTGTGGGTGATGGGGTGGTGTGGGGGGGTAGTGATCAAAAGCACAAGTCATAGGTCTTAAGGTGAGTTTTGAAGACATGAGGGAGGGAACAAGGCAGAGGGACTCCAGATGAAGTACTGAATCGTTATCTTTCTCAAATGTTCAACTTTAGCATTATGTCACCTTTAACAGCAGTTGATCTTATGATAGAGAAGGGATGTTTTGGACACCATTGTTTATACTTCAAATTGCCATCAGTACAATTTTCCCAGCACTAATGCTGTAATATTTCTCTGTTAGTTTTTACAAACAGCAGCAGACTGTAGGGCCAGAACTAAAGGCTGTAGCGGATTACATGATGTCTTTAATTGGAACTGACTGCTCTGGTGAGGAAGGCGAGATCTATTTGACTCTAAAGGTAACCGTTTCATAACTGAGGACATAAGAAATATTCATTTTCACGAATAAAGGGTTAAGATTTTGCAGTGTTTCTTAACACCCATTCCTTGTGCTAATTAATACATGGAATGGGATACGAAACACCACCATTTTTTTTATCACGTTATTGATTAACACATTGCAAATGTATTGAACATAAGTTACTCCCTAATCTGTTTCCTTATTCTCCAGGCACTAGGAAATATGGGAAAGGCAATGGAGAACGCAAATCCCAGAATTACATCTACTCTCCTGAAATGTCTTAAAAACTCTAAAGCTTCCGCACCTGTTCAGCAAGCTGCAATTCAAGCTTTCAGACAAATGACTCTCACTGATGAGGTAATGTCACATCTGAATTCATTGTCCACAGAAACTGATGATTATGTTTGTGCTAGTGTTTTTTTCCACACTTAAGCCATCTATTCTAATCCCACTCTGCTGCTCATTCCCCACGCATGTCAATTTCAAGAGTGTATCTAATTCTCCCTGGAATTAGGTAAACATGGCACATCCCTTCACAGAGAGAGTACACATTCCCTTCCGGAAAAACGGGGAAATTTCCATGGATGAGTGACATACATATGTGGAACTCTCAATCTGGTTTGGACACTTTTGAGCATAGCGATAGATTTCCACATGTGTCAGACACCCAGCTAGTCAATAGAAAAATATATTTTCTTACGAGTCCACAGCTGTTTAAGGTCTGAATACTACTATTTAGCACAATTTGTTACCACTTGTATAGAGGGCTCTGTGAGTCAGTCAGTTCAGTTTTCAGCTGATACATTGTGTTTCTAAAAAATAATGAAATTAAAAGAATAGCACTACTGAAATATCAGGATATATTTACTATTATAACGTTCTTATACTTTAAAAAAAACAACTTGGATTTATATAGCACCCTCCACCTGGACAGCGTCTCAGAGCGCTTCAAAAAATAATAATACATGAAATACCTTTACCTATACTTACTGTAGCCGTTGATACTTTCAATTTTTGTTCCTTGTTCTTTGTCATTTAACTTTTTTTTACTATTTTCCTTAGTCAGCGCCTTGGGACGTCCTCCCGACTTGAAAGGCGCTCTATAAATGGAATCTTGTTGTTGTTGTCACAAAATGCAAGGATTATAGTCGACCTTGTTGCCTATTCTTACCTATTTTTATTTTAAAATCTAGTTTCTGCCTCTGTTCCAACTCCCAACATTGTGATGTAACCCGCGGCTCACTTACCTGTCAATGATTTACTCCCAGGCGCGCAGTGTGCTTCTTGATGTATATCAGGATGTAACTTCGCCTCTCCTGAAGAGACTGGGAGCTTACTTCATGGTCATGAAGAATCCATCAACAAGTGACCTTAAAAAAATCACAAGGAATCTGCCAAATGAGAAAAATGTAGAACTACGAAGTTTTGTGTCCTCACATTTGATTCATATTCTTCAGTCAGAGGAGCCTACAGTTCAGGAGTAAGTGAACTGCCGTACTAAAATCTTAGCCGACATACGTACATTCAGCTGAGTGGGCAGTGATGTTATAATTGTATTCTTTACAAGCAGCGTTATTCCTGTCGCTTCAATTTTGATATTCATCTGGCAAGAATGTAGTTTGTTCAAGGTTGAGAAGAAGAGGACATGTCTTTTCCATTCAATAAAATGTAAATAATTTCTATGAGTTGTCTTATCTCATAGCTGCATCCAAATTCTAGAATTGCTTGTATGTAGATAAATCTGTCACTGGCATTGCTAAGATTTCTAAGGAATTTTGGATTGTAACAATATTGATCACTTGTGTCCCAATTGAATTCCTGAACTTGTCTTTTTGTTTTTTGCACAGACTAAAAAACAAAGTTGTAAAAATTATGAAAGATCCAATTGTGGATGTTCCAGGATTCTCCAGACATTACGAAACATCCAAAAAGATGGATCTACTGTCTTTTGCAAAGCCTTTCATAAGCACAGCGAAAAGTGATCTCATTTTTGAACCGTATACCAAGATACCAAAAGCAGTCATGCTGGAAACCACTTTGAATGCTTTCGGTCGCTCCATTGACCTTTTTGAGGTAGGAATATACATAATAATAATCCTTACATTTGCTATAGTGCCTCATCACATCTTCGAGACGTCTAAAATCGCTTCACAGAATATACTATAATGTGTAGTTACTGTGTATTTTGTGGGCAAAATGCAGCAGCCAATTATATCTAATGCAACCCAGACTAAATCCTCATGGATTTAAAAGTAATAAAATAAATGAAATGTGAATAATTTGATATGACTAAATTTAATTAATTGGTTATTTGTGCATAGCTTGGTCTTGATGGCAAAGACTTTGACCCATCTCTGGAGGCTATTTTTGGACCAGAAGGATTTTTCCCCAACAGCGCAATGAAAACTCTGTATTGGGTGGATGGGAAAGTTCCAGAGAAGGTATCAGAAGTGCTGTTTAATTGGTTTGGAGTCAGCAGAAACAACAAAGCACCAAAAGATGTAAGTGTTTCTGAGTGATTCCCTTAATGTGTTTAGGAATTAAGTTATAATGACAATAAACCTTGCATTCGATATAATGCCTCATCACATTGTTGAGACATGCCAAAGCGCTTCGCAAAATATACTGCAAAGTGAATTGACTGTATATCTTATGGGCAAAATGTGGCAGCCAGTTGCACACAGCAGTAGTGGATTGAGTGACCAAATATTATAATATTCTTTTGAAGGGATTATTATCCCTAGAAAAGCGATCTGCCATTCAACTAACAATCAGGTTCCTACTTATGGTTAGGTAAACAGAGGCATGTGGAGTAAAAAAAAACTTGCCTAATGTTTTGTCCTGCCTGGGAATTAAACCTGGGTCGTCTTGCTTACGAGGCGAGTGCTCTAACCAATACAGGACTCCATGGACTAAGTTATCTCATAATCACCCTGTATCTTTCTTGTCTGACACTCAATAGGGTCTGATGAAGGAACTCATGCGCAATTTTCAGAAAATGATGAAGGAGATTCAGACACAGGCAGGAACACCAGAAGCAAATGCTTTCTTGAGAATATTCGGAAATGAACTTGGATATGTTAAATTCAGCGATATCAAGCAGCTGGGAGGAATGCTATCAAGAAGTGCCAAGTACCTGCAGCAACTTCCAGTACAGGTACAGTACATCATGTCACCATACACAGAGATAACATGAGTGATATTAAGAATAATCCTTGCATTTTATATAACATCTACAATTTTGAAAATCTTATTTTTTGGCAGAGAGAAGGGCTGACAGTGCCATAGTGGCAGTATAATTCCAGACAGAACATGTTTTAGTTTGCACTGTAGCTAATTTGTATTTTGTGTGCTGTTCAATTATTTGCACTGTTTCCTTATCCACAATGGAGCCAGTCCAAATTAGTGCAGATAATAAAAATAATAATCCTTCCATTTGATATACCACCTTATTAATTCTTCGAAATGTCTCAAAGTGCTTCACAGAATATATTGTAAAGTGAATTGACTGGAACTCCATCCCCCAGTGCCTTCGCCTTGCTTCCTCCCTTTCCTCCTTCAAGGCCAGTCTCAAGACCTTTCTCTTTGACCGAGCCTTCAGGTCCCCTCTTGACTCTCTACCCCCTCCTTACTCCCTCCCTTTCCTCCCCTCACCCTGACCATTTCCCCCCTGCTCGGGTCCTACCCAACTGTCCAGGGCCTTGGGACGTCCTCCCGACTGAAAGGCACTCTATAAATGGAATCTTGTTGTTGTTGTATATTTTGTGGGCGAAACACAGCAGCCAATTGCGTACAGCAGTGTCCCACAAACAGTTGTGGGGTGTATATAATCAGCTCTCCACTGTAATATGAAATATCAAAGAACTGTTTACGCTTTTTTACTTAGCAGTAAAGACTATGCCTCAATTATATTTTCTCCGTGAATATTTGTTATGCGAATCTAATGGGTGCTACACTTTTTGTTTTACAGATCAAACAGGCTATAGCAAAAGGGATAAATGGTGACCTATTTGCGCATTACATCTTCCTGGATAGTCAATTTAACTTTCCGACTGGAGCTGGCTTTCCTCTCAAATTCTCTTTGTCAGGCACAATCGCACCAGGCGCCAAAGCAGGCATAAAAGTTGACAGAAAGCAGGTAACACTCAGTTAATTTGCATTTTTCTTTTTGAATAATTTTTTAAAACAATTTACATTTATATAGCACCTTTCATCTTGGAAGGATGTATCACTGGCCTTCACAAAGCTGACTGGGAGCTAGAACTGTGGGGAGCAGGAAACTGAGGAGTATATCGGGTAAAGTTGACCAAAAATGTGATTGAAAAAATAGGTTTTTAGGCTGGGATTTAAAAATGTGGAGGGAGGGGATAAGTTGGAGGGACACTGGGAAAGAACGAGGGTAGAATAGTTGAAAGCTCACCCACAAAACATATAACATGTATTTAAAATGAGGAATAACAGTGAACACAGATTGCTTTACAATTGTTATCTTAATCAAAAGTAAATGTTTCAAGAAATTGTTGAATTTGTAAATCCAACTTTTAATAGAAGTCAATATTGTTTCAACATCAGGGAGACGTGTTTATCAAACCATCAGTTGGAGTGGAATTTGTGACTCAACTGGGAGTCAATGTACCTGATTTTACCAGAAATGCGATTCAAATGAATTACAACTTATATCACGAGTCTGGTTTTGAAGCCAAGATCAGCATGAATAACGGTCAAGTTAAACTCAGCATCCCAGCACCAAAGGAACCAACCAAGCTCTTGAGTGCGAGGTATGAATATTAATTCTTTCATGTGTATCAATTTCATGGTAAGCAATGCATAACTGTGGCTTTAACAGATGTCACCTCTCTTTTACAGCCTTCGACTGTCACTGTTACATAGTACAAAAAGTGAAGAAATCCCATCCATCATGGAAGACAGACAAGAATGGAAATCCTGCAAACCACTGATCTCAGGCCTTAACCTATGCAGTACTGCTATGTACTACGATTCTAATGATGAAACATCCAGATATTCACTAATTAGGGCAACGAGGTGAATAATGGGCCTGTGCCAGATAAGCTACCAGCACTGGAAAAATAGCAACATAATTGTATTGTAGTGATGTACAGAATAGAGAATGAAATGCCTCAAAAGACTATGTGAACTTAAATCTCACGTCTTGGTTTAAACCAGTGTTTGAGCCTGACTGTTGGCTGCTTGCCACCCATGCAGATCAGAAATAGATCAGTTTACGAAAACAAAGGTGAAATTTGTTAAAAATAAATTTGTTCCCTGCTTTTTATGATATTGACAACATTGAAGCATTAATTCATCCCATATACAAAACTGAAGAGCTTAAATCGCTTTGAGACATCTCGAAGACATGATAATAGCACGGATCCCTGATTGTCTAGCGCCTCCGAACAAGAAAGGTGCTATACAAATGTAACTTCTTGTTGTTATTGGACAGAGAAAGATTGGAGAGCAAGAGAGAATAGAAGGAAAGGAGGAAAAAGTGTGAGCATTTTGACTTTAGTTTCTCATATTTCTTTTAGTATTTTAATATTGCAGTGATTAAGTTATCTCAATGCTGTCATATTTGTTCAGGTAGTAGTTTTCTCTAGAAACAAAGATTTCGATAGCTGTAATGGTGCCGGCAGTCTTAGGTTTGTCACCATAATCTAAAATGCAGTGTTAATAATAATCCTTGCATTTTGATATAGCGCTTTTCACATCTTCTAGACGTCTCAAAGCGCTTCACAGAATATACTGTAAAGTGAATTGACTGTATATTTATGGGTGAAATGCGGCAGCCAATTGCGCACAGTAGTGTCCCACAAACAGTCATGGATTGAAGTGACCATTTTATTATTTGTTTTTTTTCTTGAGGGATTATTATCAGGCGTGTGGAGTAAGGAAACTTGCCCAAGGTTTCACCCTGCCAGGAATCAAACCCAGGTCTCTCGCTTGCAAAGAGTTGTAAGATCATCCAGAACTCTGCAGCCCGTGTCCTCTCCCGCACCAGGCTCCATGACCCTATCTCCTCCATTCTCGCCTGACCTAACTAGCTTCTCATCACACAGAGGATACAGTTCAAGATCCTGGTCCTCACCTTCAAAGCCCTCCATGGCTTCGCTTCCCTGTACCTCTGTGACCTCCTAACACCCTACCAATCTGCCCGCTCCATCCGCTCAGTGTGCTCCGGCCTGCTTCACTTCCCCCACCTCACCCACCCCACCATTAGCGGGCAGGCCATCTGCCACTCTGCCCCACCCTCTGGAACTCCATCCTGCAGTCCCTCCGCCTCACCCCTTCCATTGCTTCCTTCAAGACCCATCTTAAGACCCTCCTTATCGACTGTGCTTTCGATCACCCTGCTTCCTCCCTTGCCCTCCACCTTCCCCAATTCCGACCTTCAATTCTGGTTCGAAACATTGACTGTCCAGCGCCTTGGGACATCCTCCCAACATGAAAGGTGCTATACAAATGTAATATTGTTGTTGTTAACCACATGTGTGTGTTACTGTGACCTGTACGAAATCTGGGCTAACACATTCTATTTCCAGAGAACATTTCCCCAGTTTGACGTGGCACACAGGATTTTCAACAGGAGGGATATTTGTGTCTCCTTTTACAAATATTGTTTTTACACCCCACTGGTATGCTTTCAGATCCCATTGACCTACGATAGTTGCTTACATTTCTGTTTTTTTATTTTGCAATTTAGGTTTGTGGTTCAGCTTGAACCTACAGGCACTGTAAGTGAGTATTCTGCAACAGTGACATATCAATCCCCAAGAAGCAAAGAAGACTTAGAACACTCTGTTCAACTTGTTGTTCAGGCAAAAGGTAGGTTATTTTCATTAATTCACAAACCAATGTGTTCCCAGTAAAACATATAACTAAATGCATTTTAAGCTAGTTTGCACCGATTGTGCGCTTAGCAACCTCCAATTCTCGACTTCAATGAGATGTCTGACCAATGGGTGAGAAGATTGTGGGTTCAAACACCACTTTGAGACCTTCCCCACTTTGGGACATGGGACACTGGGAGTTTTGCCCACAAATATACAATCAATTCACTTTACAGTATATTTTGTGAAGCGCTTTGAGACATCTAGAAGACGTGAAAAGCGCCATGCAAGGATTTTTATTATTATTATTCAGCTCAAAGTCTAGGCTGGCACTATAGTAACAGAAAGTGATGCATTGTCAGAGCTACCATTCTTCAGATCAGACATTAAACTAGGGTTTCACCTACGGATTCAGGTGATCAGTAAAGATCCCGTAATGCTATTCAAATTGGAAAGGGATGCGTGTCAACCTGGCTCATGTTGGGACCTGGAACCAATATAGTCTATGCTGACAATCCAATGCAATGCTGGGGGAGTACTACATTGTTGAAGGTGCCCTCCTTTGGATTTGTCATTAAACCGAGGCCCCGTCTACCTGTTCAGGTGGACATTAAAGATCCCGAGGCATTATTTGAAAAGAGAAAGCAATTTCTCCCGATGTCCTGGCTAACATACCCCCAAATAAAACTGGTCATTCAGTCCATGGATGTTTGTGGGACATTGATGTGCCTAAATTGACTGCCACATTCGCCACAAAATACACAGATACATCAACTTGCAGTATATCTTGTGAAGCACTTTGAGACATCTTGATGATGTGATAAGGTGCTATATCAAATGCAAGAATTATTATTATTTTTACAACATCTCCTGACATCTTGGGCAACAATCCTCCAAATAAATTGTTCATTCACATCTATTATGGGAGCTTGCTATGCACAAGTTGGCTGCCATTTTGCCTAAAATCCAGTCACTACAGCCCTGTTAAAGATAATGCAAGCCAGAGTACATTTTAAACATCAAGCCAGAATATTTCATTGGCCAGCTGTGAAAACCCAAATGAATATAGAGAAAGCTACAATTCTATGACTGTCATTCATGGAAAATGCTTTACATTGCACAGCTCTTGCCTGAACATCCACTGCAAATGAATTATGTTTACAAGATTTATAATTCACAGAAATGTCTTGAAATTACAAATTATTTTCGTTGAACAGGTACTGAAGGTACAGAAGCTACACTGGATGTTACGTACAATGCAAATACGCATGTTGTCACAGGAGACATTCAGATTCCCAAATTTGATATGGAATTTGGTGTGAAAATGGGAATTCAAGATACATCTGCACCTGAAAAGACCTCATATGCTCTCAGCTTTAATGTCACAAACAAAAATGTGCCCGACCTGACCCTTGTTGGACATGTAAGGTATGTGTAAAATATCGCACTCAATTTATGGTAAACAATTTATGGTAAACAACAAACTATTACTGCTCCAAGTAAAAACTCAAAGAAACAGTTAATTTTATCAGACCAGATGGTGGACATGTTTCATGTAGCTCTGGCCCTGGTGTTTTTTCATGGTCTAAGCTAGCATTAAGCCTGTTCTCTGAAAATTTAAGATCATGCAGAATTTTTAAAAGGTCTTAAAGTCAGCCTTAATTTTAAGCCATGTTCCTCAACTTTGCTTTAGGTCATGCAGGCTTTCAAATTAAGATGGAATTTTTCCAAAATTCTGCTTGTTCACAACTCTAAGGCAATTAACTTTTAAGGCTGTGACCAGAAAAAAAATAGTAAGGTATCAATTTGACGCTCTCGATCTCGATCCCATCTTCCTGTTTAGGTGGGTGTTAAAGATTCCATGGCATTATTCAAAAAGATAAGTGAGTTTCTCCCAGTGTTCTGGCCAACAACCCCCCCAAAATAAAAAAAAGTCACTCACATCATGGCTATTTATAGGACATTGCTGTGCGCAACTGGCTGCCACATTTCACATACAAAATAGACTGTATCCTGTGAAGAGCTTTGAGACATCTCAACAGCATGATAACAAGAGTTTCTCATCTATTCTGATGGCAATGAAGATTATAATTCTGACCTATATTTTTCTGTTTTAAAGCACTGGAATGAAAGACGTCATGCTCCGTGGCCTGTTCTCCATGCCTCAGCTGGCTGTAGAGGCAAAAACCAGCACTTACTTTCAGTTGATAGACAAAATGTTCACTGCTCGGTTTGATGCAGATGCCGTTATGCCTCATTCCAAGGCATCACACCAAGTTACTATCCAATCATGTATGTCACTAATAATTCTTTATTTTGTAAACACATTGATACATTTCTGCTGCCTTATGCTTTCTATTCCTACGTGTAAAATAGTCTTGATAATTAACAGTATTTTTAATTTAAAAGTGCTTTCTGCTGAATTGTGACATAATATTAATGTTAGAAATCTGTACACTTACCAATATCACTAAGCTTCTGCTATTCTTGTAATTTATTTGTTAAACTGTGAATTAGAGACAGCATGGTAAAAATATTTTATTTGCAATAATAAGTTATTTTTTAAAGTATTTGTAAGAGTTGACTCCAGTTGGAGTAAAATCTGTAGTATTCCTTAAGTTTCCCCACTCCCCCTTCTTTCTTGGTCAGCATCTGACTCTGCCACTGTGAAGCATTCTAAAACAATGCAATACAAATATATAAAGCTTCTTTCATCCCAAAGCACTGTTAGTTAGGCACCAGAGCTCGGATGGGAGCTGAGGGGGTTGGAGGGGAACAACCAAAAGAGCAGTCAAATAAGAGAAGTTATCCAACAAGAAGGGCAAGTTGTTGATGTTGTCCCCAAGCCTTAACTCTCACCAACCTGCACCAAATATCTTCTGGAATTAGGTAAATAGGATGAGTCCCTCCAGGGAGAGAGTGCACATTCCAGCAATCTATCTCTGGGATTTCCATGTATAGGTGGGAACTCTCAGTTGTTTTGGATACTCTTTAAGCATGGAGATGGGTTTGTCAGACACTGGCTAATGAAATAAATTCTAAAATTAAGATAGCATTAATAAACACCACAATTACTGATATTTAGTGTGAGATCACAATTCCAACTTCATTCTAAATCTACTGTAATACATTGAGTGCCACCTTCTCTTTCACCGATTTATTCCCCAGTCAACCTGGATCCAAACATGTTGAATTTCCATGCTTGACATGGCAGGCCATCGATTCTTCTTTTGACCTTTAGAGAGTTTGTTAAATGTGTTATTTGTAGTTAAATAGTTGTTTTAAGAGCCTGATCAATGGAAGGGTGACAAAAGTCATGCTCTGCCTAGTGCAGAATAGTTATTTTATAATGGAGGTTGGGGCCTTGGCCATGCAGTGCATTAATAGTATTTCCTTGAATTTATTCTATTTTTTTCCACTCTTAGCTTCTAAAAAGGCTCAAGTGTCATGGAGTTCAGAAGTGACATCTGATATCCAAATAATCCGTGAACAAATCCCTGATCTGTCCACCTACCAGGCAAACCTGCAGGAGTATGCAGATCAACTCTTGGATCGCAAAATGGCTCAAACTGACATGACAGTAAAACACATAATTTCCAAATTCATGGTGGTAAGACAATCTTTTTGACATTTTGTCTGGAAATGTATATGAAAGATAGATTTTTGAAGGGATACGGGGATAAGGCAGGGCAGTAGGATTGACTTTTGTCTGAGGGCTGAGGTACACTCGATGGGCCGGATGGCCTTCTTCTGTACTGCAAATTTATATGATTTTGTGTATTGAAATTAGACTGTAAATGGAATCATAGAATCCTGCAACACAGATGGTGATTATCTTGTATCTCTTATCTATTCCAACACCATCACGTCATCTCTTCTAATGGCACACACACTCACATTTGTGGTATTCCATGCTCCTAACCTTATTACCATTTACGTGCCCCCCTTGATGACATCATCTGTAGGCGTGGGGTTAACTTCCACTTGTATGTGGATAAGACCCAGCTCTTATCTCTCTGCCTTTACCCTCAACTCCAGAACCGGTGCTGCTCAGACTGATTGTCTGTAAGACATCAAGTTCTACTTGAATTCTAACCTTCTACAACTCAATACCAACAAGACAGAAGCTTCCAATTTGCCTTCCATCAATACCTGCTTACCTCCGATGCTTACCGCATTGACCTGCACAGATGCTCACTCCATCTCTCTGAGCTTTGCTCTCCATTGCTCAGCTTTCTCTCACCTCAGCTTTGCTCACCTACACTGACACCAGTACCAGTCCCCATCCTCCAGGCTGCTGGGACCTTCATCCACATTATTGATTATTCCAACACCTTACTCAGCAAATTCCCCAACTCCTGCTGACACAAGCTGCAGTACATCCATAATTCTGCAGCCTGTATCCTCTCCTACACCAGGCTCCACAGGCCTTTCACCTTCATCCTCAATCTGCTCCATTGGCTCCATATTGCACATCGAATTCAAGATTCTCTTCCTCACTTTTCAGTGCATTCCAATGCTCCCTGCATCCTACCTTTGCAACCCTACTTCCCTGTCCGTTCTCTCTGCTAAGAAAACAATGGCCTGCTTCATGTCTCCTGCCCAATCCACCCCACCATCAATCATCCTGCTTGCTAAAACTCCATCCTGGAGTCATTCTGCTTTGTCACCTCCCTTCCCATCATCAAACCTAGCCTTAAGACCTATGTTTTCAACTGCAGTTTCCACCCCCATCACCCCCCACCCCTCCAAGCTCAGCCTCACAATCAGCCTCTGTAAAAGGTGTTTTGCAAATATAATTTGCAATTGTAATAACATTTTTTGTAATTCTATGAATGTCAGACATGACACAATAATACTCCGCTTCTGGCAGGCAATGAATAGTTGGCTGAAAAGGGCCTCTGAAGACGTTCCTTATGTTGCCACATTTCAAAACAAGCTGAAGCATCTGCAAGATCTGAACTTTGAGCAAATGGGATTATTTTCTATTGACCTTCCTGAAAAACTATTCCTGAAAAGGTACGTCTGCTTCAATCTGTGAAAATAGTAAATGGCAACCTCTAAACATTGCATGCATTATTTCCTGTTTTGAACTTAATAATAATAATCCTTGCTTTTGATATATAATAATATATACACTGTAAAGTGGATTGTCAGTGCATTTTGTGTGTGAAACGTTTTCAATCTATGTAGTATAATAATATTCCTTATAATTGATATAGCACCTTATCACATCGTTGAGATATCTCAAAGCACTAAATCAACCCACTTTGGAACTTGAACTCACATAGTCCAGGCTGGAAGATGGCAGTTTTTCCCAATGTCCTAACCAACGATCCCTCTCAAAATAAAATTGGCCATTCACCTCATGGCTGTTTGGGGGACATTGCTGTGCGCAATTGGGCTGCTGTGTACACCCACAAAATACACTTCATTTTGCAATAATCTTGTGAATAATGATAACAGTAATTAATAAACTTCCAAGTATCTGTATTGAAATTGCTTTTCATGATTCGATATCTCTGCCCTCTTGTCTACTGTCCCCTCTGATACATTTGCTCTCAAAACTGAAGAGTTGCTCATAGCTCATTCATCTAACACCAGGGATCATCCTCATTGCTCTGTTCTACACTGCCTTTTAGCTGTGGAGGCTTCATACTTTCCATGAGCTCTGGAGCCACAGGAGGTGTGAAAATGATTAACTGTGAAAATAATCACAGGCCTCTTCTACTTCATAGAAACGATGTGTCAAAGTTGTTTTGAAAATAAATATCTCCAGAACTTGATCTCTTAACGTACACGTTTCCTCAAACAACTGTGAGGATTTGTAGTCTTTTCACACTCTTAGCTCATAGTTCTGGAGCAGCTCACTGAGTTGAGTACAGGATTACATGGACATTAGCATTATCGCAGGGGTATTTCAAATATTTTATAAATGTCATTTAAGGGAAGATTTTTTTAGGAATACCATAATTTTCACCACCGTATTTTGTGGATTTCCATTTTTTTAATACACTTTCAATGTGTTTCAGTGTAATTTCCTAGATATTTTTCTGTGAATCTATTTCAACTTCTGTATTGTTTTCTTTTGCAGTCAAGGCTCTGCCAAATTTACATTTAGCAGAGAAAGAATATCCATCACCATTCCAATTCCTTTTGGTGGAAAGGTAACTAAAGAAATTCGACTGTTACCAAGTTCATTCCAAACACCAGCAGTGTTTGCTTTGGGATTCAACATCCCATCCAAGCAGTACAATTTACCAATAAATTCCATTCCATCCATTTCTATTCCTGAAGAGCACACACTCCTCATTCCTTTAGTTAACAAATTGGAATTCTCCACACATCTGAATAGCAATTACTACAATTGGGATGGAAGCTTTTTAGGTGAAAAAATGTCAAAGAAGGGTGTAACCCAGATTACTGCTAATATGAATATCAAGGCAGACTCTACACTGGATCTTCTGGCCTATCAACTGAAAGGTAAGAAACTGTTGTAATTTCTTTATGTTTCAACATTGTTCAAAACCTGTTTCTGTTTAAGCTATCAGTCTCCCAAATGTTGAAATGTTGCTTGTAAAATGCAGTCACAACACTTTACAGTAAATCCTGTGACGTGTTTTGGAATGTCCTCTGAACAAAAATCTGTCATATCATAGGAAAATAGGAACAAGAGTAGGCTGTTTAGCCCCTTGAGCCTGCTTCGCCATTCTATTAGAACATAGCTGATCTTTACCTCAACTCCATTTACCTGTGTTTGCTCCATATCCCTTGATACCCTGATATAACAAAAATCTATCCACTTAGTCTTGAAAATTTGAATTGATCCAGCATCCACAGTCTTTTGAGGTAGAGAGTTCCAGATTTCCACTGACATTGTGTGGAAGAGTACTTCATGATTTCACTCCTAAATGGCCTAACAGTAATTTTAAGATTATGCCCCCTTATTCTGGATTCCCCCATCAGAAGGGATAGTTTCTCTGTATCTACCCTATCAATTTCCTTTTAGTTAATGCAACATGTCCTCATAATTTAACCCTATAAGCCCTGGTAACAATCTGGTGAATCAGTTACACTTACATAGCCCCTTTCACACCACAAAGCTCTTTACAACAACAACAAGATTCCATTTATAGAGCGTCTTTCACGTCGGTAGGACGTCCCAAGGCGCTGGACACTTGGGTCAGGACCACTGACTGAGAGCCCAAGCTATGGGTGGAGAGAGCTTCACCCCTCCACCCCTAGAAAAGAAAAGTCTTAAGGTGTGTTTCAAATGGGGGGAGCAAGCGAGCCAGGCAGAGGGATGGAGTTCCAGAGAATTCCTGAGAGCCAAACACACATCAACAAAATTGCTGCATTTAGCAGAATTCCTGTACACCCTTAAAGTATATTGTCAAATTAGCTGAAAAAAACTGTAAGAGTTGAGTTTGATGTTCTGAAGCCAATAATCCTTTCTTACAAATGGTAGATATAGAATGAAATAACAGATGACTGACAAATTTCCAATTCTACAAAACTTCCTTTTTTTAATTACTTTTAAATATTATCAGAACTGCGTAAAAAAATATAATTGGTCATACTATTTTACAGTATCCCGCAACATGTACGTTTTCCTGCACTTAGAAATTCTTCATCCTTCGAACTGTATTATACAGGTTTTCTTAGGTTAGCCAGCATTAATGAAACCCATTACCTTTCTTAAAAGTCTCCATATGTGTGAGAATTTCATGTATGTAAGCCCCCAACACAAAGAAATTTCACCGCGTTTCAAATGGAATCAATACTCTCTCCCAAAAAGGACATACCCTGCTTATCTAATATTGGAGAGTATTCGATGTAGTTTGGCTGAGCCAAAGCTTGGGGTCCCCAGAGTTCGCTTTGAGTTAATGCTGGAGTTTAACCAGTTCAACAAATAAATAAATTACTGCATAAGCTCTTTTGGCAAATACCTTTGCACTAATAATTAACTTCTCGAGTTAAACAACGGTCACAATTTCTAAAACATATTAATTTAATGTACCCTAGGTAATACAATTTTAAGCCAAAATACAAAGCAGATTACGGCTGTGAACCTTGATGGATCATTTCACCATAAACTACTTGAATCTTCAATACGTCTCAGTGAAACATTGGATACATCAGCTGGAAAGAAATCTCAGTCAAGTTTTACATGGGAAGCATCGAGCAGTGTAGGAGCCAAAGCCTCCTTGTCATCACAACTTCAACTGGAGACCAAAAATTCAAAACTTGAAACACAAGGAAATGTCCGAGGGATATTAGCTGTCTCTTCATATCAATCTGCCTGGAATTATACCACCACTTCCACACTTGATACCCAAAACTACGAAGCTGTAGGAAATTCAGTTTTAGATTTTAACTCACCCCTACTTCAGGTTAGCAACACAATTGATGGTGAATATACTAAAGGGGTTTTCTCAATCAATTCAAATACTGGTTGTTCCCATTTAAATTTTAAAAATGTCCTAAGTGCGAAGATGAGCTCTGAAGAAGCTGAGCTGAAATGTGATACTTCAGGCCAGGTTGACAATGGTAACCTGATCAGTAACATAAAATGGATGGTCAACAAGAATGGCTTTAAGACAGAAAACAAACTGAAAGGTGAACTGTTTGATGCTAACTTGGAAAATGTAGCTCTGCTAGAATACGGTAATAGTCTTCTGAGTCTCTCATTGGACACAACTGGAAGGTACAAGGCCATGGAGACAAAGAATAAATTGGATCTCACTGCATCAATGCAGCAAATGGATGTTCGACATGAGTGTCTCGCAAGCTATTCTGACAAACAGTTGCACAACATCCTGACCGGCACGTTTAATCTTCGTGGTCTTGAGGTAAAGGCTGACACTAGATTGAGTGGTGGAGCAAGCCAAGCTGCCAATAAGGCAACTCTGAAAATTGACACCAATGGTCTGACAACTGGTGTGATCTCCAATGTACAGATAAGTCCTTTGAAGCTGAAACATACTTTCAACGCTGCTGTGGACGGAACAAAAGCAAGCATGAAGTTAGACGCAACAGGCCAAATCAGTGAAAATTCAATACGTTTGATAGCAGAGGGAACAGCAGACAACAGAGGAATAGTTGCCAGTACTACATATCAAGGTGATATTTTGGACACAAACTCAAACAATATTGTCAACTTTAAACTGAATAAGGAAGAAGGCCTGGTGTTTAATTCAAAAACCCAGGCATCATACGGAGAGAATAAATTGAAACATAAGAATGAATTGTCCGTTGCTGGTTGGTCACTCAAAGGCAAAATCCAAACTGATAGTTCTCTAAGTTGTGGAAGCAAATACAAGCACACATGTGAGGTGGAGATGAAACCTTTCACAGTTTCATTTGATGTAATAAACAATTTCAAGTACCGAGAATTAGATGTTACCCACAATGGACAACTAGTGCTGGAACCATTCAAGATTAACTTTAAGGGAGACTTGAAAGGATTACACAAAAGGAATCAAGTGACACATACGTATTCCATTCAGTATGCCGATTGGGTAGCTGCGTTGAGCACAAACACAGTTGGAAATATAGAAAGTGAAACCATGAGACACAAGGTGGATCTCAAAATTGCTGGACTTTCCGCAAAATTCTCCAGCGACTCCAACTGTGATTCAAAATCACTTCAATTTACAAATCGCATACGCTCTGCAGTTGTTCCTTTTCTCTTCACCTTTGAAGCTAACACCAATGGCAGGGGATTTATTAACGTTCTGGGATCCCATAGTGGAGACCTCATCAATAAGTTCCAAATGAAGGCAGCACCACTATCCCTCATATTGGTTCATGACTTCAGAGGAACATCTCAACTTGATCGGGAAAGTGAAAACCCGGCCACAACACTTCTGGAAAACAAGTTAAATGTAATGCTGAATCCATCTGAGCAGACAAGCACATGGGGGCTAAAAAGTCAGTTAAACAGGAATACTTATGTACAAAATATCAATGCCTATAATAATCCAGAAACAATTGGTATGGACATTACAGGTCAAGCTATGGTTGATCTAGGAATGCTCAAATATCCAGTTGCTATCCCATTCTCCTCAAATAAATTGTATTTACTTTCTGCGTTGGGTCTGACAAGTGCCGATATAGCTGAACCTAAAGAACTGCAAATCTCAGGGAGCCTTCAATACGATAAAAGTAAAGAGGCCCATGTTATTAACATACCCTTCTTGGAAGATGTGCCCATTTATTTTGAGGAATTTAAGGGTGTAATTCTAAGTACACTGGAGTCCATTCAAAATTACCTGAAGAATTTGGACATTAATCAGTTTGTTGAGAACTACAAGAAAACCCTAGAGAAATTTCCAGGCCAAGTGAATAATTTCATTAGGAAATTGAAATTAGAACAGAAGATTAATGATGCAAGAGGGAGGATATTGAGTTTTGCAGAGGAATATAGAATAACAGAAGAGGATCTTGAAGTTGCGTTGAAGCAAGCTCAAGTGTTTTACCAAGATGCAATTACCCAGCTGCAAACATACCTGACAGATCTGAAGGACTTTCTGCAAAAGTATTACAACAACTACGAAGTACAGAAAGCTATTGAAAATCTCATTAACCAACTCATGGAAACACTGAGGTCTATTGATAAGCGATATGAAATAACCCAAACATCTATTCGGACCCTCACTACCCTACAGGATGCTCTCCAGAGGTTTCAACTCAGTAAATTACAAGGTGATGCTGTGGTTTGGCTCCAACACATAGATGAAAAACACCAGATTCAAGTTCAGCTTCAAAACACATTACAGCAGCTAAAGATGCAGATCCAGAGCATTGATTTGGAGGAAACAGCAAATAGATTGAAACAACAAATTGCATCCATCAATGCTGATGAGGTTGTTGAAAAACTGAAGCAACTTTTGAATACTGACAAGATAAATGAACTAATTGACAAACTCAAAAAGGTGCTTTTGATGCTGATGGAGGATTATGAAATTATGGACAAAATTAACAGCATCAATACCAAGCTGCAGGAGATAATTGTTATGTATGAAATTGGCAAACAGGTTCAGATATTCTGGGATAACACTGTGCAAATCATTAAGAAATACAAGTTTAAAGAAACATTACAAAAGCTAACAAATATTCTGAAAAGCATAGACATAAAATCATACACTGACAGCCTCATTCAAAATATCGATGAAAGCATTAAACAAATAAAATCATACAACTATGAGGATATGATTGAAAAAATCAATGATTTGCTCAGCACACTTATCACAAAATTAAAGGAATTTGACTACAATGTATTTGTTGATGAGGCAAACAAAAGGATCCGTGACATGACCAGGACAGTCAATGATAAGATTCAGGATTTAGAACTACCACAGAAGGTTGAAGCTGTGAAAGACTATGTACAGGCATTGCAATCAACAGTAAGTGAATACCTGGAAACGCTCAATCAAAAAAAGCTCAGTGAACTGATCAAGCATTTGTCAGATATTTTTAGAAGCATTGGCACATCACTGCTTGAAGACATGATTACTGGATTTCAGTACGTCCTCGAGGATCTTGAAGAGAGGTTCAGTAGAATGAATATTCAACAGGAACTGCAATGGTACTGGCAGCAAGCTGTGCAATCCTACCAGAGAATCAATGGGCACCTCTGTGACTTGTACGATAACATCGCAGAACAACTTAGCATTTGGGCTGAAAGATATCAGTTACAAGATTTGCTGACTCAATTATGTAGCTACTTGGAAGAAGGCTTTGTTGTTCCAGAATTGAAGACCAGCCTATTCACTGTGCCTCAATTTGAAGTGAGTCTTCAAGCTATCAGAAGAGGAGAATTTAACACGCCAGCATTCACAGTTCCTTTAACAGACCTGCAAATACCATCTTTCCATGTAAACTTGAAAAAGCTCAATAGCATCACCATTCCTACTCGATTTACCATTCCACAGTTCACGATCTTGAAACTAGTGACTGTCCCTGACATTACAATCGATTTAGAAAAAATTAAAGAGTATATTGTCTCAACAATTAACAACTTGCGTCATTTTGATATTTCAGTACAAGAAATCAATTTACTTCGAGATATTCCTTTTCCAGTTATTTCTTTACCAGAAATAAAGATCAGCGAACTGGATTTCAGTGCACTAAATATACCTGATATCAGAATCCCCAAACTGAATTTGGACAGCTTCAATCTGAATGACATGCAAATTCCAGACTTCCAACTTCCTCGTATACCTCACACAGTTGTGCTGCCCGCTTTCGGAAAACTTACTGGAACCTTCAATATCTCATCTCCTGTCTACACCCTGATGGCCAAAGCTGGCATTCACAACAGTACAACCAGTCAAAACAGTCCAGTAGCTCTCGCTTTTCTTACTGCAAAAGCCAAATCTACAGCAGAGATCTTGTCCTTCAACTTCGATGCTACAGCCCGCCTGTCAGCACCTGAGCTTCGGCTTCTAAAATTGAGTGAAAATATAAAGCTTGAACACACAACTGTCAGAATTGACCACATGGGAACTTTGACCTTCACTGCACCATCTATTGATGGAAAATCTGAGACAACTGTCAAGATCGTCAGTGAAGCCTATAATGCAGAAGCTAAAAATGTTTTATCAATGAGTGTACGACAAGGACTTTCCACAAACATGGAGACAACCTATAACCACAATTTCAATGTTCCTCAGGCACAGATATCAAGTCAGGTTACAATGGTTAACATTGTAAAAGGTTTGGCTCAACAAACAAGTGCAACGGTATCTGTGACAAATACAGGTAGTGGAAGATGGTCTGTAAAGGACTTCTCTGATGAAGGCACACACAAAAGTGAACTGAAGCTAAACCTAAGAGAAACTGTCGCAGTAGCTACATTCTCAGGTGACACCAGTACCAAGTATATAAAGATGAAGCAAACTTTCACATCTGAGGTTAGTTCGTTGTTTCATGCCAAATTTGCATTGAATGCAGACACAGATATTACAGACGTTGGACATAGCTTTGTGAATGTAAGTGGAAAAGGAGAACTTGGAGATTTGAAAATGGAAGTAACAGCATTTCACGATGCTAATCTTTCTGGCCGAGTGGCAGGTACACTTAGCAATTCACTTAGCTTCACAGCACAACCATTTGCAATTCACACTTCAACAAAGAACAGGGCAATTCTGAAGGTTTCCTTCCCTTTGACCCTCATCGGCAAAATAGATTTAATGAATAACTACGAACTGACTCTTACTTCAAACAAACAACTGTGCACCTGGCAAGTAAACAGTAAGTTCAACCAGTACAGATATCATCACGAACTTTCTGTAGGCAATGATGAAGAAAGCATAACTGCGCAACTTAGACTGAACGGCCATGCAAATCTTGATTTCCTGATCACACCAATTTCAATTCCTGCTGTTACTCTTCCTTATTCATCAGTCAAAACTCCTGCAATTACTGGCTATTCTTTGTGGGAAGAAGCAGGATTGAAATCCCTTCTGAAAACAATTAGTCAGTCATATGACCTTAGTATGAAAGCTCAGTACAAGAAGAACAAGGATATGCACACCTTCAAAGTAGAAATGGAACCGCTTTACAGGATGATTAATAATGGTATTAAAAAATCTGTGCAAAATTTTGAACAGAGCAGGGACAAAGCTTTGAATGTACTGCAAGCATCGTACAATAATGCCAAGGCTAATTATTATGCATTGGGAATAGATTCTGGTGTAAGAAAGCTGCCAAAAAGTCTTCATATTCCAGGATATACTATCCCACTGTTGAATATTGATGTCTCCTCATATACAGTTGAGCTGCCAGCTTTAGGTTTTGTTACACCTAGAGAGATAACGACACCTACCTTTACATTGCCCATTATTTCCTTCACTATGCCATCATACAACCTTGTGGTACCATCTCCTGATTTGCCACTATTACATATACCTTCCAGTCTGTACAGGCTGTCACTTCCAAAAATCAAAATGCCACGTATTCAAGATTCCATCAAAATCCCTGCTATGGGCAACTTGACTTATGATTTCTCATTCAAATCAAGTGTAATAACACTCAGTGCTTCTGCTGGACTCTTCAACCAATCAGACATAGTAGCCCGTTATGGTGCCTCTTCTTCATCTGTCTTTACTTCAGATTTCAAAGCAGAGGGAACAACAAGTCTGACAAAAAAGCGAGGGTTCAAATTAGCTACAACAATATCTGTTAATCATGACGCCATTCAAGGAAAGCATGACAGCACTGTGAGTTTCACCAAGAGGAACATGGAAGCTTCAGTTTCCACTGAAGCACATGTCAAACTTCCTCACATGACTCTTAATTTGAAGCATGATCTGAGTGGAAACACTAAATCTAAGCCTAATGTAATGTCAAGAGTGTCACTGGATTATGACCTTTCACTCTTTTCACCAGACATCAGTACTCAAGGAGCAGTTACACATTCTCTCACCATGGAAGGTCTTACATCTTACTTCAATTTGGAAACTACAACAGATGCTCAGGTTAAGGGAAGTCTTTCTTCCGAAAAGAAATATACTGGTGTTGTGCACAATGAAGCAAATGCCTACCTCAATTCAAATGGTGCTCGTGCCACTGTAAAACTTCTGCTCGGTTCATTAGCGAATAGAGGTTATCATAAAATTTGGAACATTACAATGAATGAATATTTTGCTGTGGATGCCTCGATGAAACGCATTTATGCCACCTGGCAGCATTCTGTCGATAATGCATTGAAAATATTTTTGTATAATGGGTATGGCAGTCAAAAATCATTAGGAACTCTTGAGCTGGAACCCTGGAGTTTGAAAGGAAACCTGCAAGCTCAGATGGAACAACTGTCTTACATATGGGGTAAGGTAGCTATGCAACATGAATCAACAGCAGTCATCAATTCAGAGATTCAAAAATTAACTTCAAAAAGTAAAGGAAATTATGATTCAAACACGTTATTCAGTTTTGATGTGCAGTTGTCAAACAACGAAGAAGAACTTCGTCTTGACATGGCTTATTTCTGGCAAGGAAGTGCATATATACTGAAATCAATTACCCTTCCAGTGTATCAGAAATCATTGTACAGTATACTGAAAATGGACCAGACTAATACTGGTGTCCATAGCCAATACATAAATGTATCTACGTCAATCGTATGCATAAAGGATGGAAACTTTCTTATTCCTCTACTAGTGGAAATGTTATCAGATGGTGTCAAGATCAAGCTCCCTGAATTTGTCCTTCATGTCCCAGATTGGGTAAAATCAACACCTGACGTAATTAATGGCATCCTGATCCAATATCTTCAAGATGTCCCTAGGATTCCTGAGATTCCTGAGGAAATCAATGTTCCAACATATGAAGTTCCAGGAATGAACATTGTCATACCATCATATACATTCACGTTATCAGAGGTTAAGCTGCCAACAGTAATTATCACCCCCACATTCAAAGTTCCATTTACTACACTTCAGATACCATCATATACCATTGACCTTACAGTGATTACTATTCCATCCAAGATCAACACTCTTCCATTTGATGTGACTTTGCCAGCTTTACCTACAATAAGATTTCCAAAAGTAAGCATTACTTCCAAGTATCTTGAAGTTGCTGAGTACAAGATCCCGTATTTTGAAGTGACTGTACCTGAATTCCGAATCACCATTTTGCCGTTTTCTCTACCAAAATCCTTCAGCATCGATGATTATTATGTGGAGTTGGACAAAATTACAAATTACATAGCAAACTTTGATCTGCCAGCAATAACAATCTCAGAAATGACATTGGATATTCCATCACTTAAGTTCAGTTTGCCTGCAGCAATTGCTTTGCCGAAATTTAAGTCTCTGACTGCAAATGTGAAAGTTATATCCCCAATATACAACACAACATGGATCGCAAGTGTAGCAAATACACATAATGTCTTTGGAGCTGCTTTGAATGCAACATGCAGTTCTACAATGCAGTTCCTGGAGTATGATTTGACTGGTAAGTTCAAAATATATTGTTTTTTTTCTGAAAATGTTTAATATTTATTGTTCCCTCAAACTGCCCTTTGATTATTCAGCCTTTTTCCAAATCATTTTACTAAATGTCCCTGTTCTTGTTTCCTCTGGTTTATCAGGGAATTTATTGTTGTTTCCAGATAACACTATCAATCTACTTTTAAAAAAAATCATTTTGTCTGCAAATACACACTTGCAGAAAGATTATGTGAAGCAATTTGAGACGTTTCTAATAAATAAGGCAGCATGTCAAACGCAAGGATTATTATATGTGTAAAAAAGAACTTGCATCTGTATCAAACTTATATCACATTGAAATATCTTTAACAACTTCACAAGTTTTGATCAAACTTATCATACATTTGCACCAGAAAGAATACAGAAACAGACATCAGGTGAATGGTTGATTAACCTGGTGGATTATTCTCAAAGTGCACTGTGAGAAATACCATTCTATTTTCAGATAGGCATGGGATCTTTAACATGCATCTGAGAACAGGCAGGCAGAACATTGTTTTGTCAAAAAGCTGACACTTCCAACAACGTAGCTCTCCCCTTGAACTGTACTGTGAGTGTAAGGGATTTGAATCAATAGCCTTCTCGCACAGAAGGACGATATCAATTGAGGCAAAATGACAATTGTTTTGTGTTACTTCATGTGTTTCTCACGTCCAAAGCCACATACTATTTAATCAGTCATATTCGATGAATAATGTTAATTTGCATAATTCAACCACTGCTCAATTAAGAATGTTTTAATGTTTTAAGAAAACATATGCGTGAACAGTGAATTTGTAAAGTTGAAGAATTTATTATTTGATTTGCCAACTTTAAGTAATACTTCATTAAGATCTAAAATGTGAAGTTCCAAATTCTGCTTGTTGCGCTAATTGCAACTTCCAGTTTAGGAATATTGAATTGGAAATTTTTCAGCTGGTTGATCACAAATGCCAAAGAAAAAATGTCAGATACAAGGCAGATAAGCTGGAGAGTAACGCACTACTTTTGCTCACCAGCATTTTTTTTGGACTGCGTTCATGTTCCTATTTAAAGCAATGATTGTGGTTTGAGAATTTGGATTTTAGACTTAAATGTAGTGTCAATTTACATTGACAAATTAAATGATAAATATAATATTTTAAATTGAATTTTAGACTCCAATATAAATAACAATAATATTCTTTCTAATGAAAATTGAAAGATAATGTCTTTTCTTCTCCCCTTCCCCCACCCACCTTTCAACAGCAACTTTAGATGTAAATAGAAATACCAAAGACAGCTACAGTTTTATTCGAAAGTACACACTGAAACACCTTGACTTCAATGTTGACTGGCAGGAGAATTATCTAGTTGAAGGTCCAAGGTAATGTGTAGCTTGTTATTTCTCTATTAGCTGGAATAATTTATTGTTGTAGGAACCCGGTTGTTAGTCGATTGGCAGATTGCTTTTCCGGGGTAATCATTCCTTCAAAATAAAATAAAAATAATTTGATCGCTCAATCCACGACTGTTTGTGGGACACTGCTGTGGGTAATAGGCTGTCGTATTTCTCCCACAAAATATACAGTCACTACACTTTACAGTATATTCTGTGAAACGCTTTGAGACGTCTCAAAGACACGATAAGGCGCAATATCCAATGCAAGGATTGCTATTATTATTACTATTACATTAGCTGTGTTTCATGTTATCAAAATTACAGAATGCAATATTCTTTATCTCTCGGTCTTTTATATGAAGAATTCAAAGTAAATTATGCAATTAAAATATGAAGATAATTTTATATTTTTGGGAGTTAAATGATTTTTGTATGGATTGAAGCAAACTGATTGAAACTTATTATCATAAATATAATGTTTCTTCACACCATTTGATTTTTTTTGCAATGTTTCTGAGGAGGAAGCACGGAAACATGCCAATCTTTTTCAAGGATATGGGGAAAGAGCAAGGGAGTGGGACTATTTGGATAGCTCTTCCAAAGAGCACAGGCATGATGGGCTGAATAGCCTTCTTCTGTGCTGAAATATTCTATGATTCTATGCTTCAATAATCTCCCTATGACAACTTAAAAAATGTCCATTAATCCCTAGAGATAAAATGAATCCCACCAAAGGCACGTTCCTACCTTATTTGTCTTTTTAGATGTTCTGATTGCTTGTTTTAAGTATTGGAAGGGATCGGAATTGCAGAGACTTGTAACAGTCATCAACAATGACTTTGTGTTTCAGAAATTTCTTCCGAGAACTTGAAATGTTTCAAACTGACTTCTGAGAACTCTAATCTGGCAGAATATCACTTAAGACTGTGTGCCTACAGTGTACCCCATTGCAATATCCTTTTTTGTAGTGCGGATTTGGTTATAATGCCATTGTATTGCAGAACCTATTCACTGCACATGCATACAACTGGTCTACAGTCCGGCTGGCTTTCCCATGCTTGAATAATGAACAACCTCTGAGTCATTAGGTCACTGAGGACATGTCGTCCTGCTTTGCGCATCGAACAGCAAATGACACAGTAGTGACCTGATGACCTGGAAGTCAGTCATGTTCTTGTTAGCGGGTGAACCATGGAGCAAGTCAGCTGCCTAATTACGTGTTCTGATGTTCTGACAAAGGGTCATGGACCCGAAACGTTGACTCAGTTTTCTTTCTCCATAGATGCTGCCTGACCTGCTGAGTTTTCCCAGCTCTCTCTGTTTTTGTTTCAGATTTCCAGCATCTGCAGTATTTTGTGTTTTGGCTAATTACATGTGCAGTGAAACTGCCTCTAGAATGGATTGGGACTTTCTATGTGTAGTGCTTCCTTCTATAAGGGGTATAGACATTGGAGACAGGTTGTTATAACCTTTTGATATCTCATCAAATGAGCATTATTCATTGCCTATGTATCTTAACACTGAGTATTACCTAACTATTGAACTGGAAGGTCACACAGCAATCAGATACCGTACCAGGGCTCAATCTTTGACTCTTCCCAATGTAACTGGCTCAGCCACTCACTGGATACAATTATCATTTCTTTTCAAACTTTTAAAATAAATGTATTTCCATGTTAATAAATTATTGCTTCAGCTTTATAATATATGTCTGTTTTTAATGATCTTGTGTGCTTTTTTTAGAATGACATGTAAGGTCAACATAGATGTCAACAGCCCAACTTTCACAGATCTTAATCTTTCCTGGTTGCAAAACGATGATGGACTTTCTACAACAATTTCCTCTCCAACTGCTGGACTTTTGGGCTTGATCATTGAAATGCAAGGATCAGAAGTTCTGCACTCAAAGCTTTATGCCCAAAAAACAGTAAGTAACTTTACAGTGTTAATATTATATCAACTACCATACAAATACATTATTCAGTTAACTTAATAACCAAATATATTGTTTCGATTCACAAAGCTTAAATGTGTTGCATTATATAGGAAATGGCAGGAGAAAATACTTAGATTTGTGAATTGATTTGATCTTTCACTTCGGAATTATTTCCAAACTTATGTACATAACTTTACATGGAATATGAATCTACTTATGAGTTGGATGAGGCATTAAGCTGAGGCCCTTTCTGCCTGTACATTAAATATCCCATCAGGAAATTAAATATCCCGTTTTGCCCACAAAATATACATTCAATTCATTTCGCAGTATATTCTGTGAAGGGGTTTAAGACATCTTGAAGACGTGGTAAGGCCCTATATCAAATGCAAGGATTATTATTATTATTATTATCCCATAACACTATTTGAAAAGTGTCCAACAATCCCCCAAATAAAATTGGTCATTCACTTCATGGCTGTTTGTGAGACATTGCTGTGCACAAGATCGACTGTCACATTTACCCACAAAGCACACAGTAAATACACTTTACAGAATATCTTTTGAGTACTTTGGGACGTCCTCTTGACATGAAAGGAGTTATACCAAATGTATGGATGATTATTATTATTGCATATTTTGCTTTCTGCAGTCATCTCCTACAACAGATTTAGTTATTCTGGATGGCAAAGTTTCACTGGAGAATCCAAAAAGCATCCAAGTCCAAGTCAACTGGAGGAACGATGTTGCTGTAGATATGCTACAAGGTCTAAAGGAGAGAGTACCTAAGATGACAAGAGCTCTATATAACTGCGTGAACAAGTATCACAATGATCATTTTGGAATGGAGTTAAGTGCTGCCTCCTTGAAGTTGAAGGAATCAATCAATGGAAATATCAATGAAGCATACAAAATAGCAGTCAATCAAATGAATGAAGTAGAAAACTATCTCCAGGTTGATATTGATGGTATCTCCTTGAATTACGACCAGATGAGGGAAACGATGAGAAAAATGTTCAAAACAGCAAAAATAAATGTAAAATATTCAAATATTCAAAGAGATTTGATCGATATCTTTAGATTTATATTCCAACAGTATTATCGGATATTTGAACGTCAATTTGATTCATTCATTCATTTTGCAAAGATGACCAGATTTCAACCACCAGGACTTGATCGCCCATATACGGGTCAAGAGCTATACAACATGGCCATGGATCGGATGGCACTATTAGAGGAACTCATTCAAAAACTTGATAAAATTGTGGAAGGATATCTTGAAGCTTTGATAAAATATATTGTTCAGTTGGAAATTAAAGTACCTTCTACTGACAAAATCATCAAAGGCTCAGAAATCCTATCAGAATTAAAAGAATTTCTAAGAAAAGTTCAGAGAAACATCCATGAAACTCTAAGGAAAATGAACAAATCTAATTTTGAAAAAGATATGCAATCAATAAAAGAATATATGAAGAACTGCTATGGCAAAATTGAGTTAAAGTTCAGAGAGTTAGAGAATGGAGACCCTGAAACCATTAGATATCAAGTGCACATGATGTACCTTGATATACTTGATTCACCATATGCCGAAATATTGCATTCAGATAATGTGAAAGAATATGTTTCCAAACTTCTTCAAATGAGCCAAACCATTTTGCAAGTTCTTGTGGAAAAGATTCAGGCAGCAGGCCTCTATGTGAAGGCAATACGTGAAGAGCATCTTGATAATTTTCTGTTTGGATGGACTGCCAAATTCATTGAGATTGAAGAAAATGTCTTAAAGTCATTAAAAGAATTGCTGGACCATATTAAAGAAGAGAGTCCAACAATAATTGACAAGATTGTGACAAATACCAATAATCTGAAAAAGGAAACAAGAAGATTTGTTGAAATGTCTGCTGACAAGGTTTTCAACTATCTGAAAGACATACAAATAGGTTTTGAAGGCAAAGCGAACATAAACATTACTGAATATCTTAGAATGCTGAAAACAAAGCTGACTGAGTTACGCCTTCAAGCTAAAAGGAGCATAACTGAATATAAAAAGACAGCCAAAATCAAAGTAAGCGAAGCTTATGACTACTTCACTGAATCATATGGAATGCTAAATGACAAAGCACAGATGGCGATTGATATTCTCATTAAAACATACAGTCAATTCATGCAAACCATATATAATTTTGTGGAATCCATTTCCATTATGATCTCTGAAACAACTCAGTCTTACTTGGAAGTCCGCCAGGGACAAGTTACACTTAATCTGCCTCACAATTTTTAATGTTAAATCTTTGATTTAATGCCCATAATTGAAACAGATGCAATGAGTCAGTTAAACACAACCATTGCCAATGGACATCGGGTACAGCAAAGAAATGATAATCTTATCAAACATGAAAAAAATTATTCTCTAGGAAAACCAGCCCAAAGGACAATAAACAACAAAAAATAAAATTTTAGCTGAATATTTAAGTTGTTGTAATCAAAGTAGCATGTAGAATTTGTGTTATTTTCATGTATGAAAAAGATAATTACATGTTATTTCAGTGCCTTCACAATGCAAATATTTACAGATTTCTGAATAAATTGGCAAGTTCTTCATGTATTGCTTTATTTTCTTCATGTGAAAGAAATGTGGCCCTATTGCAAATGTTTTAAGTTGTACTCAAATAAAAAAGATTTTAAACACTTTGAAAGTTTAATTGAAGTGTACAAAACCCATGGGAAGGGGAAAGTAAAATACTTGTCATTTTTAAATTACATCCAGGCAAAATGCACACTTTAAAAAAAAAGGTACTGCACGTTTACAACAATAACAACAAATTGCATTTATACAGTGCCTTTCATGTAGGAAGGACATCCCAAAGCATCGGACAGTTGAGGGTTTGCGTTTGAGTTGGGGATTGGATTCGAGAAGGGTGGGGGCAAAAGAGGAGTGAAGGTGGGGTGGGAAGATGACCAAAGACGTGGGCAAATTGGAAGGTCTTGAGACGGGCCTTGAAGGGGCAAGATAAAGGGATTTTGGAATGGAATTCCAGAGAGTGGGGCAGAAAGGTTGAAAGCCCGACTGCTGATGGTGGTGCAGCCAATGCCTGCAAAATAAAGGGAGTGGGCAGGTTGGTAAGGTTTTAGAAGGTCACAGAGGTAGGGAAGGGAAAGAACACGGAAGGGTTTAAAATTGAGGACGAGGAACGTCAACATGATCCTCTTGGGGATGGGGACCCAGTGGAGCCGGGCAAGGATATGAGTGATAGGCTCACAGATTCTGCACAAACTGCAGAGTTTTGCAGCTTGTGGAGAGAAGAGTTGGGAAGTCCGGTCAGCAGGTGGTTAGCATAGCCAAACCTGGATATAATCAAAGCGTGGCTGAGGATCTCGGTGATCAGGGGGAAGAGATAGTGGTGTAACCGGGCGATGTTGCGGAGATGGGAGAAGGCAAAACGGGTTATGGCATGGATGTAGGGTTTAAAGGATAAATAAGGGTTGAACAAGGCCCCAAGTTCTTGTACTCGCTTGGTGAGGTGGACAGTGCATCCACGAATAGTGATGCTGTCAGCGCCTGAGGTGTGGAGGTGCTGACGGAAGCCAATTAGGAGGACCTCAGTGTGGTTGACATTCAACTGGAGAAAGATGGCACTCATCAAGGACTTAATCATAGAATCAAAGAATTATACAGTACAGAAGGAGGCCATTTGGCACACCATGTCTGTGCTGGCTCTTTGAAAGATCTTCCAAATCAATCTCGCTCCTTTGCTCTCTCCCCATAACCCTGCAAACTTGGCCTCCCCAAATAATTGTCTACTCTCTTAAAAGTTGTTATCGAATGAGCTTCCACTACCCTTTCAGGAAATGCATTCCAGATCCGAACAGCTCGCTGTGTGAAAAAATTTCTCCTCACCTCCCCTCTGTTTCTTTTAACAACTATTTTAAATTGGTATCCTTGGGTTACCGACCCACCCGCCAGTGGAAATAGTTTCTCCTTGTTCACCCTATCGAATTCCTTCATAATTTTGAAAACTTCTATTAAGTCTCCTCTTAATCTTCTCTGCTCCAAGGACAGTAATCCTAGCTTCTCCAGCCTTTCCTGATAACTGAACTCCCTCATTCCTGGTACCATCCTGGTAAATCTCCTTTTCACCCTTTCCAATGCCTTGACATCCCTCTGAAAGTGTGGTGCCCAGAACTGAACACAGTACTCCAGCTGATGCCTAACCAGCGTTTTATAAAGGTTTATTATAACTTCCTGACTTTTGTATTCTATGCCCCTATTTATAAAGCCTAATATCCCATTTGCTTTGTTTAACAGCTTTATCTATCTTGCCACCTTCAAAGATTTACTTATATGAAACCCCAGGTCTCTCTGTTCCTTAACCTCCTTTAAGATTGTACCATCAGCTTATATTGCCTCTCCTTATTCTTCCTCCCAAAATTCATCACTTCGCATTTCTCCACATTAAACTTCATTTGCCACGTGTCGGCCCATTTTACCGGTCTGTCTATGTCCTCTTGCATACTGCTATTATCCTCCTCACTGTTGACTACCTTTTCTAGCTTAGTATCATCTGCAAACTTGGAAATTGTACTCCCTTTACCCAAGTCCAAGTCATTTATATAGATCAAAAATAGCAGTGGTCCCAATACTGACTCCCGGGGGACAGCACTGCACATTTCCCTCCAGTCAGAAAAACAACCATTCACCATCACTCTGCTTTCTGTCTCCCAGCCAGTTCTGTATTTATGCTGCCACTGTCACTTTAATACCTTGGACTTCTATTTTGCTTACAAGTCTCTTATGTGGCACTTTATCAAAGCCTTTTGAAAATCCATATAAACTACATCAACTGCACGACCTTCATCCACCCTTTCCGTTACTTCATCAAAACACTATCGGGTTTGTAGACACAATTTACCTTTAACAAATCCATGTTGGCTGTCCTTTATTAACCCATATTTTTCTAAGTGAAAATTGTTACTTGGATTATAGTCACTAGAAGTTTACCCACTACTGACGTTAGGCTGACTGGCCTGTAGTTCCTGGGATTATCCTACTGACCGGTTTTGTACAGGGGAATAACATTTGCAAACCTCCAGTCCTCCGGCACTACCCTGGTCTCCAAGGAGGATTGAAAGATTGTGGCCAGAGCCTCCATTATTTCCACCCTTACTTCCCTCAGTAACCTAGAATGCATCCCATCCGGACCGGGTGACTTATCTATCTTGAACACCAACAACCTTTTTAGTACCTCCTCTCAGTTTATTCGTATCCAATTTCTCTACCCTCTCCGTCAATAATGTGGCATTGGCTGTGTCCTCTTCTTTTGTGAAGACAGATGAAAAGTACTCATTCAGTACATCAGCCATGCCCTCTACCTCCACAAGAAGATTTCCTCTTTGGTCCCTAATTGGACCCAACCTACTTTTAATTAAACGTGTATTCTTTATATGCTTATAAAATACCTGAGGGTACCCTTTTATGTTACCCACTAATCTTTTCTCATACAATCTCTTTGCCTCTCTTATTTCCTTTCTCAGTTCTCCTCTGTACTTTCTATGTTCTATTTAATTACCTTCTGTATTTTGTTCCTGACATTTATCATAATCCTCCTTTTTCTGTTTTATTTTAATCCCAATTTCCTTATTCATCCAGGGAGGTTTGGAATCCCTACCTTTCCCCTCTGTGGGAATGTGTTTGTTCATGTATAGTTTACTCCAAGAATAATGTGCATTTTATTTTTATGGACAACAACTTACCACCAAGTAACCTCGATTTGATTCTGAACTTGTTAGGTTCCAGTAGTGACTCCTTGCCTCCAGTGACTGATCTGCCCTTCCAGTTCTGCCGATCAGCCAGGATCGTGCTGTGATCACCAGTCCCCTGGAATACTGCGGACCCGCTTGACTCAGGAACCAGACTACTGAGACCAGCACAGAGGGCTGGCTTGATTCCAACATTCCTTTGCCAGGCATCTTGGAGCCAGTCCAGCTCCAAGGAGACCCCACTGTACAAAAGGAGTTAAAAAACGAGATTAGGAAACCCAAGAAAGAACTGGAAAGAGACATAATTCAAATGGGATTGATAAAGAGAATGAAAAGAAGATAGCAAACACATTAAATGACTGCAACCTGGAGATTTTTACCCGGAAGGACACTAAGTACACAGCCCGAACAGCCAGCGAACATTGTTTCAGCTCCAGAACTTTAAGATAAATGAGGCTGAGATTCTGGATAGGCTCAATGTGTTTAAAACCAACTCATGAATTGGACCCCAGGGTACTTAGGGAGACAAGGCAGGAGATTTGTGCACCACTGACAGACCTTTTAAGGGAGTCAATCAGGATTGGGGAGATTTCAATGGACTAGAAGCAATCAGATGTTGTTCCCATATTCAAGAAAGAACCTGGCAATGGTAGATCCATTAGCCTGACTAGACTAAAAGCAAAAAATTCAAGGTTAAAGACCAACGAAAAAGAGAGAGAGACAGAGTGATATATACAAATACACACACAAAAACACACAGAACAATTGGACAGGAAGATAGGGTAGGGATAAAAAGAGGGACAAAGACAGGAAGCGTGAAAGAGAAACAACAACAACAAGATTACATTTGTATAGCGTCTTTCACGTCGGGAGGATGTCCCAAGGCACTGAAAGGTAGAAACACACAGAGACAAATAGGAGTGAGAGACACTATCACAAAGTATAGTTACACACAGAACCAATAGCTCTCTCCCATAAACCTTTGTTCCCAGGTAATCCCTCCTACCTATTGCTTATTCTGGGAGAGCCACTTTACTAGTAATTTATGAAGTGCAGCTTGCTAACAAGTGAAGAACAGTAAGTGGCTGGGGATTTTGTTAAACTGTCAAGTGGAGAGGATTTATTACCTATTAGATTATTGTAAAAATATGCTGTGTGGTTGAATATACTGAAACAAGAGCCAGTTCAAAAAGCCATCTGGATGAAATCACTGTGACACTGGCAAGGAAAATTCCCTTTGCTGCTTTAATCTATTTTAAAACATTTTTAAGATTTTAATTCTCACTTAATTGTTTGTTTTTAGTTTTTATCAGGGTTTATTAATTACATATTTAATCTAAGAGCTGTCTAGATTGTTTTAGTGGATTCAGAGTCTAAACTGCTGGCTGGGTATTTGGATGAGGTTAGCCCCAGATGTACATTTAATTTTTTAGGGTTAGTTTTTTGGTCAAGGCTAGGGATTAGGATTAGAGTTGCAGGGATGCATTAGGCAAACAGTGTGTGTTCCTCTAGGGAAAGAGGACCTATTCCATTCTAGACATGGTGTAGGTAGCCTACATATGCGGAACATTCAGTCTGGTTTGGATACTCTTAAGCATGGTGATGGATTTCTGCATGCATCAGACAACCCAAAAAACTCCGAAACCTAATTAGCAAAAATTAATGGTTTTGTCTTGACATTGGCAACAAAAGTTCATTTCCCTCTTAAATGGTAAGCAAGATGGAGATGAGACAATTGAGAAGGGATCTGATAGAGGTGTACATGATTTTGAAAAGATTCAATAAGTTGGATCTTTATAAGACCACTTGTTGATATATCAATATCTAGGGAACAACAACAAGATTACATTTGTATAGCACCTTTCACGTCGGGAGGACGTCCCAAGGCGCTGGACAGTGTACAGAATTTCAGACCCGAGCTGGGGTCAGGGGGG